ATACCTGCATTTCATACGTACATACATACTATGTATGTAATTGTATTGGGCTCCATTTTAATGGACATTATTACAAATCTGCCTAATCAAAAAGTTCCACACAAAGGCCGAAAATGTAATTTTTAAATCACGAAAATTCATTTGCAATTCACAGTCTTGACAAGCATTTCAAAAATGTAATGCTTACAATTTAATACCTAAAGCCATATAAGTAAGTCTGCTTGTTAAATTTCAATTTATTTACTTTGTCTCTGCTACTCAACCAAAAGTTGCTCATACGTATAGGCGGGCTTAGTAGTCTATGTATGTATGTATTTGCATGGTCTAAAGTCTTTATAATTCATAGTGAAACTACAAGCTTTGCTCAATAGTATTTCATTATTTGTTGAATTTTTGTTGCTATTATTGTGGTGAACACACAATAAGCCCACTTCTCAGCTGGGTTAGATAAAAGATGAATTTTATTTTGATTTGTAGGTACATACATTGTTTCTTTGGATTAACATTTGCTGCATCCTGTACATAAATTTGTAACAAAGTATTAAAATAGCAGTCGATTTTTTCGGCAATGGAGGCTGATGCCCTGCCAGCGGCAGATATAACCAATTAGGTAAATTTCATTATTGACGCTAGTCGGAAAAGCCAGAGAAATGAGCAATCAATGTGATAAGTATTTGCGTGCAATGACACTGGATTGTGACATTTAGTATTTGTGCGTTTGCCTCGGTTTCAGCCAATGTCAAATTGAAAATGTCTGTAATTGAAAACTAAGCGCATTTGTAAGCATTTTTGGGCTTTGGTTTAGCTACCCCTTACCATCTCTGCAACATGACATCACAAATCGCATAGCAAACACAAAAGCATGCATACATACGTACATACATACATAAATTGATGGTATGTATTTTTAATAGATTTTTGAGATACGTTTGTTGAACTCGTGGCGATCGTCGTGGCTTAGTGATTAGAGTTGCGCACTATACTTCCCTTAAAGCGTTAACTTCAAACTTCAATGAAAGACCCATCCAGAACTACGAAGGCATTAATAACATAAAAAAATATATTTTTGTTTTAATTTGCGCCTATTTTTCTAGAATTGGTGGACGATAATCTAAACTGATTTTGACGTTCTTTCATACTTATTATTTTCTGGCATATACCGTGAATTTCATCAGAATCTGAAAAACATTTACCATTTCCACCCACAAGAGCTGTGGGCGTGGCAGCGCGTCGACTTTTACCATTCCACATTTCTTAATTCCTAATTGCGGAATGGCGCATATACGAAATATCAGCGAATTTGTTGGACGGTTACTACTTTTGGCCGCAGCTTATATAAAAATTTCAAAACAAAATTTTGGGAACATCGATTTTTTTTTAACATGAACTGGACATTGTATACAGTGGAAGGTACCTATATGTGTACAAATTCACCTAGGTCCTATCAGACAAACGGCAGTATGTGCGGATTAGCAAACCGCGGGCTTATAGGATTGAATCCCATGGCCAGCAAGCATTTAATTTAATCAACTTCAAATAATTGTGTGAAATAACAAAAACAAAAAACAGAAGAGTTATTTTTAAAAACTCGCTCCGATTTGTGCTCAAACTAGGCTGCTACTGAGTTATAGTATACATTCCTGACCACTCGGCTTAATTGTACCTGAGGCTATATATTTTAATAAAAAAAAACATTTTATTAATCCCATCGCGAAGAGAAGGCAGAACAGATGAATCTGTCTGCATGGCAGTCAACTTCTTCTAAGCGCACATAGGTGTTTATTTCAGGCTAGCTAAGCAGTCTAAACGGAAGCTTCACTGTATTTCTCAGTTAATTGACATCACTGTTTGTTTGTACAAATCCAATGCTGTGACGAGGCATTTTTATACCAAAACAAACTTTAGATTAAATTTGCGATGGAACCTTAAATATTTTTACGTGCAGAAAAATTTTGTTCAACGAACCCCCCAAAAAAAATCAAATTCATTTCATTTTCTACTGAATGCATTCATCATCAATGAAGCATCTAATGTGTTCACATTTTACCCATTTGGCAATCGCATTCACACAACCGCCAGACAAAACCGAATTCACCAGCAGAGTGTTGGCGAAATACTCTTTCATTAGCAGGTCTAAGAGGAACTAGAGCAAAATAAGTAGAATCCGTGGATGGAGCGATGGCGGCAAGCACTTAACCGGCGCGTAATTTACGAGTACGCGCTTCAATGCACACGCCAGGTTAGTGAACTCCCAGCAAATGCCGCCAGCACCCCCCCCCCCCCCCCCCCCCCCCCGCTCTCCTTCCAACCACACTTCCAAATGTTCAGCTATTCATTGCAAGCTGGTATGGCTACAATTTGGCACCACCAGCGAACAAAGGAAATGTAGCACGAAAGAAAAATTGTTCAGCCGCAGCGCAACGATGAACTGCAGCAGGCGGGAATTCCAGGCAGGAAATTACGAAAAATGTCGGCTATTGACGCTCTAATTTGTTGGTGTTTGTGTGTGTGTTTGTTGTTGTTGAGTGCGTTCGGTGTAAACTAGCTGCAGAATGCTACAAATCATTAAAGTTAATTTCCACTAGTTATTACGGCTGCACACTTTCCGTTTGCAAACACTTAAGCGAACTTTTTCTTTTACCTGTGATGCTTTCGCATTAGCGAAAATGTGCGCGCAAATGCCAGCGGCGGCAGTAGCGATGATGATGATGATGTTACCACTACAACTGCATCGCGCGGCGCAAGAATTTTGCAGATTATTAAAATGAGAAATTGCATTTTTACAGCTTTCGGCTGCAGCTGCTGTACTTAATGTGAGCATTGTGCGGAAATATGGCAACGCCGTAGACATCAACACCAATGGTCGGCATAATTTCGGGCGCAGCGAGTTTGTGTTAACACAAACAAAAAAGGGAAACGCATCTCATTTGCGAAGTTTGCAACTCGTTTGTGGTTGCATTTGGTTTGTAAGCTTTTGTCCAATTACTTAAAGTTGTACTTAAATATGATGAATGCCTTTGGGACTTTGAAGGCTAAGGTAATGCAATGTTTTACTAAAGGAGCGAAACTCATCTATTTTTTTCAGGGACTTAACTTTGTCTGAATTGGCTGTTGTTCCTTCTTTCTCAGCGGATGTCATCATAAATACATTTTATGAATAACAAGAAAAGAAGTATAAGTTCGGGCGAAACCCGAAGCTTATGCGACAATCGGTTTGGTGAATACGTCCCATATTTAACCATAAAGTTTTTTATAGGCATATGTAGAATATCTTAGTAGTAGTCTTTTTGGTACCCGCTGAGGCGTGTGAATAATAAAAATTCAGTTTTCGTCCAAGGTTACCCTACCTATTTTGACTCATGCGATGAATAAATCAGCAGACTACTTTGTAGGGGTTTAAATAAATTCACTTTGCTTATATTGGTGAATGTAACGGTAGTAGGGTGCCGGCTTTAATCGCCATCTCTTTTCAGAGTACCATTTCACAGTTAAATTAAAGGCTGCCTGCAATCGGATTGAAAACACATAAGTGGTATTCACCAAATTGAGTAAGGCCTGGAACCATGGCAAAAGAGCAGATGAACTCAGGCAACGACTGTTGACAACAGTCTCAATTTGGTGAATGCCACTATAGCGTCTTCCAGCCACAACAGCGCACACTCATAGACGACTAACCATCTCCATAAGGGTAAGCATTGAATCCGTTGCCGTTTAGTTTTCCACGAGATCATTGGTAATCAATGTTGTGGAATGCAACTTTGCTAAGTTTTTGATTAGAAAGGAACTGAAGCTAATTTGTCTATCCGCCTTTCGGAGTTTCTAAGCACATCCACAATTTGGGTGTAAATATAATCCTAAGCTTCTTCACGGAGGATAGTATGTCGACCATGAGTAGATTTTCTCGGAGTAAACTGGTGAATCCGAAATTATCATCATTTGATTTTCTTAAAAGTTTTATTGCTTTGCGGCCGTTTTGTGTTTGAGCGAAAGCAAATCAGATGTTTTTCTATCAAAAGGATGACAATCTCTGGCCTTTGACCGTACTACATTCGTCTCTCTTTCAGTATAAACACGGCCAAACTATGACCTACTTATACTAATCGGTTTTCATTCGATTTAAGCAGCTCGGGGTCCAAACTACTTTTTGGCGTATCGGGTACACAGCCTAACCTACCTAGCAAGAATAAGTATTTGGCTGTAGCCTTGATAGTGTTGCAAATAGCAATGATTTATCAGGAACAGCTTAGAAGTTTTTCTGCTGGAACTATGGCAAGCAACAATTTCTCAATCCAATCACAATTTAATATTAAAAATACTTCTATTTTTAAAGTATTCGTATTTTTAGAGTATTCGTTTAACAAACCGGATCGCGGCTGGTGAAAATTTTTATTTTAATTTTTTTAAAGTAACTAATTACTGAGGAACAATTAATCTCTTGAACTCGAGCTCGAACCGAAGCGAACAGTTCATTCCATGTAAAGAGATCCAAACTGGTATAAGTCGCATGTTCCTTTGCGATTGCTCCCGGAGTTATCCCGGATTAGTCGCATTTTTTGCAGGGATTCTGTACAATTTTTTAACAGATATTGCATACATACATATATTAATATTTACACACAGACCGATAAATACATATGCACCTATAAATAATCCCTCAACTAATGCCTCAGCAATTACAATAAAATTCCCACCTCCGCACAGCATCCCCTGACAAACACACAGACAGCGCTCTAATAGAAACATTTTATCAGCTAGAAAACTTGTTTAATTTTTTGCGGTGCAATTGAGCGCATCATTCAGCTTGCAGCTATTTATTTAGCGAGTAGAAAAATGCCAGCCACACTCGTTTGGTTTTGCATTCGTCTCAACGCGCATTGCATGTGAATCCAATGCCAAGTGCAGCGGCGCGTAATTTAAAAATGTGTTTCTAATAAAATATTTTCATAATTAATTAAACGGAATAATCTTGAGTCAGTGTAGAACAAAAATTACAAACAAAAATGTCAATTGAATGCAATGAAGATGAACTTGTGCCGCCTAAGTGGATGGATGGAGCATTCTTTCTGAAAGTGGCTGGGAGTATAGAAAAGTGCAGTGGTGATCCGAAGGTGGGACGTTATTAAAGAGAGAAAAAAAAATGTATTAAATGTAGCAAATCGCAAATAACAAGAGCGGTTTAGTTAGTTTTTAATTTTACTTAAATTTTTCAGCAAACAGGGTTGCACCAAAAAAATAAAATACATAAAACAAAGTGTTAATAAATGTATGTATGTATGTGGGATGCATCACATTCGAATGATGCAAATCAGATCACGAACGAGACTAACTTAATTGACTTATAATGGATTTCCACTGAGCATTAAATGGCAAAAATCTCTTATGAAATAGTTATGCCGAATTTCCACTAGGCATTGAAATTACAAAAAAATTGGTGCCATTTAAAAAATGCAATGTGGAAATGAACTTTATGACTATGGTTTAACGTAATGACAAGATTATTTTCAATGCTCAATTTTGTCCTTAAAATTTTTGCCATTTAATGACTAGTAGAAATCTAGCTTAGGTATTGCGTTGTTAGATTCATAAAAAATTAAATTTTTTCACATTGCATTTTTAAATGGCACAAATTATATATATTTTTTTTAATCAATGTCTAGTGGTAATTAGGCTTAAGTTTCGCCATTTTTAATATATAGCATTGCGGGAATATATTGTTTCTTGTGCCGTAAGCGTATCTGGCAACTCTGTTACCTTCGTCTATGTGAGGCCTCTTACGGCAGCCAGCATAAACTAACCAACCTGCTTTCGACAAAAAAGGCAATAAAACGAAGGCATATCAAATATACATACATACAATATCTTGGTTGAAATGCAAAAAGTCATAACTGATAAAAAATTCAAAATTCAAAATTTTTGATTTATATGATGGATTTCATCGAATTAAATCTCCCCACATCATTTTATGAAAAAAATAAAAAATAAATAACGTCTTTTTGCATTTCAGGTGACGATATGTAAATCTTTCAGTGACTTTTGAGTAAAATAATTTTTGCCATTTTCTTTCGAGGCTGGATAAATTTCAAAATCCAAGGGTTTTCCTATTTCTGTATCCTTTTCAAATAAAAGGATTGCATAAGGTACTAGTTAGGTATTTTTTCCAGTAATAACCTCTTCATTGAACCAGGGCCGGATTTACAAAGAAGTCCTTTGATAATAATGCTTATTACCTAGATTTCTCTTTCTGTAGATAAAATGATGTGGAATATTTCTGAATTCTGTATAAAGTTTAAAAGCGTGATTTATATGGTATTCGTCAAAGCATGAACCATATTTTTATAAAAGATAACAAAAAATTTGAGCTTGAAAATCATTGTAAATATTGAAAACCAAACACAATTAGTCCACTTTTAACCACCAGTGTACATTTAAAATCTCCTGCAGATCTATGACTTGAAAATTAGTCCAGCCTCTCAAAAGGGAGACCACAAAATACAAATACAAATACAAATGCAACAACAGCAGAGTCAAGGAACAGATAGTCATCATAAAAACTGTACCAGAACAGCACTCGGCGAAGTACCAGCAGCTGAGCGGCTTGCATTTCTTTGCCAATGAGGAACTTATCTACAGCGAGGTGATACCAAAATTTGAAGCTATTTGGCGGCATTATGGAGAAAATATCAAATTCGGTGGACGGTAAGAGTCAAGATCATGCCGACAACAAAATAAATTAGAGCAAAAGCAAAAGTAAAAATTTCGATATAAAGTTTTGACAGTTTCTCAGTTACACTGTTAAGCACTTTTAACTTTTTACCTATCCACCTATCTCTGCTCTTTTACTCCTCACCCAGCGCCCTTTACAGCGCACTTCAGCCGCATCCCGTTATTGTGTTGGAAGATTTATGTCTTGCCGGCTACGACATCTTGCGCGACCGCCTGTTCAAGCTCGACGAAGTCAAGGCATGTCTGCACAAGTTGGCCTGCTGGCATGCTGTCAGCCATAAAGTGACACTGCAACAACAACGAGCCGTCAACCGCACACCACCCGTGTCGACCGCGTCAGCAGAGTGTGAGCGCGCTGCCCGGGCGGCAGTGGTGTCGCTGCATCACGGCCTCTTCACCGCAACGAATCTAATGAATACGGCATACATGCACAATGGCTTGCGAAACATGATTGCGGCTCTCGAGCAGGCAGGTGGACTTGAAGTTTATTTAACCAAATTGCGCGCCATGCAGCCGCAATTGTTGGAACGTTGTCTGGAAATGAACAATGCGTACGTGGCGGCGGGGGTGGAGGGACCCATTTATGTGCTCAATCACGGTGACTTTCACACACGTAACCTGATGGTGCGGCAGACAGCCGATGGCCGCGTGGAGGATGCGGTATTTGTAAGTAGAAAAGCTTTCACGTTTATTAGTGCCAAAATTTAGAATTACAAGCCTTTGAATTCGCATTTACAGATTGACTTTCAAGCGAGCTTTTTAGGTCCTTCCGGCTGCGATTTGCAGTACTTGAGTGTGACCTTGTTCGATCGGCAGCTGCGCGATGAAAAGCGTGATGAGCTTTTCAGCTTTTATTTTCAGTGCTTTGTTGAGGGCCTGCGGCGTAAGCTGCAGTTCACTGGTCACGTACCAAGCTTTGATGACTTCACAGCAGATTGCAAACGTTGGCGACATTTCGGTGTGTGTGTGCATTAGGCGTTTACTCTTACGGCAAAGCTTGTGATTCCCTTTACTCTTTCAGAAATTTACTTGCTGACTACGAATTTACCATTGACCGCGCTCAACCCCGCAAAGGGCTGCAATGTTGCCATAAATCGAATATTTAATGAGAAAAAATATCGCAGCTTTTATTATAGAAACCCTGACTACATTGCATATTTGCGGGAATTATTACCGAAATATTTGACTGATGGCTATTTAGATGCGAGGTTCAAAGTATTCCTAAAATGTGCTTACAATAGTTAAGTAAGTTATTTGAAATCACTGACGATCAGAGAGAGCTTTTAAGCTTGTTTAAGATTGTCAAACATCATATATGAGTGCTGGAGCGAGCTTAAAAAGCTCTGCACAGTACCAAAGTGGCCTGCACTGATTTACTTAGATCAGAAGTGGGCAGATAGAGCTTTAGTACTGAAGCCAGGCCGAGAGAGCTTTTGTATAGAAAGCTAAAAAAGACTCTACACCGGAAATGGACACCGCCTTGCTCGCGGGCAAAGTGATTTTAAGATTTCTATATATTTCGTATAGACACATGCGGAGTAAAAGCTCTCTCTTGCCGTCGCTGATCTACACTTAAGCAAGGTGACTTATATCAATGACGCTTGGAAAGAGATTTTATTATATTAACACCATATTATTTCTGCTTTGGTTTTCCTTAGTTTATTTCTTTATACTTACTTTACACTAGCTATCTATGCCCAGTTCTTCTGCTCACGAGTGAAAATAGCTTGTGCTTTCATATGTACTCAGCCGTAGCTTATGTGCTTGGACACATACAAGACATCGTACGCGTTGGGGTAGAGGTAGTTTACATTAATATTTGCCAAATAATAATTTTTTAGCTTTTCAATTAGAAATGACAACGCTTTGCAGAAAAAACCACACACACAAAAACTCTGAGAAATCGAAACCTACGGTAATTTTAAGTAATCGGAAAGTGGTTTGGTATGCAGCCATTTTATGTAGGACTGTAATTCGGAGCTCACTTGGCCAAAAATTTTAATTGCCGAGATTTCGAGTTAACATTCTGCGAACCGTTTTTCATTGTGCTAAAATGCAATGATCCGTATGATTATTATTATTGTTGGGGATAGAGCACTGCGACCTTAAGGTCTATTGTGACCCAAATGATTCGTTTCAAGCAAAAATCTCTGCACCAGTATGTACGTATAGAGTAGAAAATATTTATGTACAAAGTAAAGCAGACACTTGATATAATTTAATAGTTAAGCGCATGTGCAAGCAACAACAGCAATTTAAGTAGAATTTTAGATTTAATCTCTCAAATAAATACATCTCGTTAAGTTCTTTTATACCTATGTAATCAGTATTATTAAGTATTCATGCAAAATTTAAAGCTATGCGAAATGAATTCCAATAAATTTGTATTCTCTATTTACACCTTTGTGCTTCCTTAATAAATAAATGTTCATACGTCTAAATGTACTAGCTATGTATTTATGTATTTATACATACTTATGGGCGTAATTTTATGCATATGAGTATCTTAATTTTAAACCCAGTTCAATTTAGAACACAACAATGAATAACCATAGTTGATAAAACTGAATTTGTATAATGACATTAGAAGGATTTTTAGCTGTTAAACAATTTGGCTATGAATTTCCTAAATCTCATCACATTTCCAATTAATAATACATACTAGATTCGACTGAAATAGTTTCGCAGTGTAAAACTTTCCAAGAATTGATTTGTAAAGAGATTTAATAATGCCTAAAACCATTTACAATTTGAAAGTCACCACAAAGAGCTTCTGAGAATTTAGAATAATTTAACTAATATTTCTGTGTTCGTATGGAAAAGTAGCTTATGTCGAAAGGCTGGCTTTAGTATAAATCGGCATTCGCAGCATACGATTGCGAATGACTTACGGGCGCTAAGCCGTTAAACAACTTTTATCAAATAAACGTACAAGAAATAGTTCCACTAGCAAGTCAATATTCTTTTTAAGTCTCATCAAAAAATTCCTTGTCCTTTAAAAAATAAAGGGAATGCCGCATTATACTAAAGCCGGCCTTTCGACATAAGCTACTTTTCCATACGAACACAGATTTTACGATTGATGACTACAGGCAATGTAGATATTTAATGGGATAAGATAAACAAAAGCAGTTGAATTTTATTTTCTTTTTTAAGCATTTAAAGATAATATCATATATTACACCAATACCCCAGAGGAGGTCAAAAATTTTTTGTTATAGAGGTGGATATACAAGTATGTAAATCGGAAGAAACCGTCGTCATTAAGGAAATTCAGTTTGCGCATATGATTAAGTGCCTCAGTAGCCAAGGGAAACGACCACAACAGGTCTTCGTAACTCAGCACTGAGTGAAACTATATATAAAGCAATGTGCCTGCCTTCTGAAAAAAATGTGACTTAGTAACTCAGTGCTGCTTCCTTAGCTCAGCTATTATAATCGCAGAGTTATCATTGTGGTCCTACCCGGTGTTGGGCATTTGCAACTGATGAGATGGCTACCAGTTTATGCTTAATATATGGTAGGTAGGTTGGTGTGGTTGCCACTGCTACGTAGGGACACACATACGCCACGATTTGCAGACCCGTTGTGATACCGGAACTAAGAGTTTTCACTCCCCCTTGCTGAACCATTTCGTATCCTTGCGATATTCGTAAGGCACGTAGGATTTAAATCTCCCAATTGTTCAAAGTAACTGAAGAAAGGAAACCCTAGAAAACGCAATCTACTAGATAATGCCGTACAGTTACAGAGAATAATAAATGTGTTTTAGTTTTTCTTGAGGAATCACTCAGATGAGTGATTGATCTATTGACTCAAGACTGACGTTGTTGAATGCCCCTTCTATGTTCGAAAAAAGCTGACAAAGTACAAAATAGTTTTTCATTTTAACTTTTATTTCAACATAGATTGATTGGAAGAAAAATACTGATAAAAATAAAATATTTCACACAAGCAGGGTTGAAATTTGGAAATTCCTGCCCGTATTTTGTTTGTAAGTCGAATATTAAGGCATTATTACTATGATAGCAAGGCCGAGTAAACATAGTCAACTTATGTACAGTAGTCGAAAAAATTATAGTCGCACCAAATTTTGACAAGTTTTAAAATTTTGGTTCTTGTTGTTATTTAATTTTGGTTAGTTTTTTATAGTTCATTCTTTAACAACATCCGCATAAATACAAGTTTAAAGGCAGTGTCACACGCTTGTATATTTGCTGAAATTTGGTGCAAATCGTATGCAAATTGTGTGAATACCAAATATTCTCCTTTATCCCAATCACGAAAAACAATTTGTTGGAATAGATGATTCCAATATTTTGACTACAAAAAAAAATTTTCTCAATTTTTTATTTTGTAACAAAAGCCTAATATAAAAATGCACAAATCTGTACAAATGTACCAATCTAGTGGCACTGCCTTAAAAATGTATGCAATTTAAAAAAAAAATCGACAAATTTTCGTTAAAATTTCGAGTTTTTTAATTAAATTCTGAATATGCAGTTTTGTAGCCCCTTGAATTCTAGTAGAATAAAGTACAAGTTTCTCATGGCTAAAAATTACAGTTGATTTTTTTAGAATTTTTAAAAAAGATCAAAATTTTGTACGAAAGCATGTTAATTTTTTTTTATTTTGCACAAAGTTGGAAACTTGGATTTTCACGGGGTTTGTTAAAGAATGAACTTTTTTTTTATAAAAAAAATAACAAAAAAATTAAACAACATCAAATATAATACGCTAAAACTTGGCAAAAAGTGGTTCGGCTATAATTTTTTGACCACTGTATGTATTTTGCTATATATTTAATTGGGCATGCACATCATACTACATAACGGTATGTACTACACAATCTCGGTATCCCGGGATTAGTCCCGGTATTTAGATGTTCATTACTTTTCAACAACTGAAATCGAACAAATTGTTTCTATATTGTTTGAGAAGCTCTCCTACCATAAAATAAATAATAAATAAATGGGTTTGAAACCTACTTTATTATTTAAAATGGCATTTTTGTTTTTTTTTTTTCTCTCTGACGTCAGTATTTATTTTAAAGGACTTTGTAATTTCAAACATATGAAATGAAAGAGGAAATTCCTTTAGAATGTCAGAACAACTAAACCGATTTTTTCGTTAGAAGGGAAGAAAATAATTTATATTTCCGAATATACCCTCCTTTTTTTCACATTGCATCGTGTCTGCGAATTATCACGAATTTAGGAGCATTTTCGGTAGCTTCAATTCGGACATCTGTGTTCTTTTTATGCAAACGAATATAGGAGCTACGAAGTCGACGAAATAAGGAAATCGTAGTTTGATATACTTATGTCTGCGCTTACGAAGTAAAAACAGTGGCGCCACAAAAGCATACCTCTCGCTTCACAGTTAGCTTTGCAATACAGATTATAAACCTCTCCACGGTTTAATTAAAAAATGTAATCAACAACAGGCAAGTGGCTTCCAAATAATCAGCTGTGCAAATGAAACGAATATAAATGCATTATCTTTTATTGCAGCTAAATTTTGTAGATAAAACAGCATGATTTGCATTCACATGCACGCTAACATATATGTATGTATGTGTGCGCATGTGAGATATGTACTTAAAAAATAATAAATGAGAAAAATGCTAATATTTGTTCATTAAGAAACTGCTTTGACTATGATTTTCAAAGGGAGAGCTGGTGAGAGCAAAAAAACAAACAAACTTTATGTTAATTAGAGTATGTAGTTAAGCCACACACACTCTTATCACTCAACGCCTCTAAGTGAGTGAGTGAGCTATTTGTATATTTTGTTAGATAACACTCTCCCTTATCTACATACAAACATGGGTACATACTTATATATTCATATATGTGTTGCCATATACTAGTACTACATAAAATTAGACAAAAAATAAAGGAATGTATAAAATAGAATTTTACGAATACATACTTAGTAAAAATTTTCAGAACGTAATGCCAAATTATTATCTCCTTTCGGTCGGAATTCTTAGTAAAAGTAAAAAACGTCCGTATTTTACCTACTATAGAAAGTCTTTAATTAACATTATTATTTCTTTACGGAGTAGTTACAGAAATTTATAAAAGCTAAAAATTTTCAGTTGGATTTTTTTTTGCTGGGTACAGAAACTAAGATTTGAGGTAATGTACCAAATTTCAAGCAGAGTCAAATTTCGAAAACAAAATAGTTAGGGCCTTTCTTTATTAATGTAACGGTATACTCTTATAATAGATAATTTGACATTTTTAGGCCTTAAAATATATGTCAGATTTTGAAACATCCGTTTTAATATAAATTAGTCCCAAACTAATGCTTTTTAATAGAACCCACTTAAAAACTTTATAAGTGCCTTAGCAGATTGAATCACAGAAGTGAATTAAATTGTAGACAAAACCTAAAATTCACTATACATAGGTAGTCATGAAGGAAAAATATTTGCTTTAATTGGAAAAATATTCTGCGAATTATGTAAAAAAATCTACCAACCGTTTTTTTTTTGGTTGTGCCTCTTTTGAAGATTGTGTTCGAATTATCTCTTCTATTACAACACTTTTTTATAAGCGGAATCTTAATGGTAAGACACATCTTACATTCTCTTTCCATATCTCTCTCTCTCTCCTTAGTTGTCATAAATATTAGAATCAAATGTCAACTATGTTTTCAAACTTTTAAACTACTCGCTACACACTTCGTCACTTATCATTTATTTAGATTAATTACACTACTTACCTAGCGTGGACGTTGCGGTGAATTTAATTTAATTTATTTACCCAGAATTATGAGTTCAATAACCGAGTACGACAAAGACGAACTGGTGCCGCCGCAATGGTTGAACAATGCCTTCTTTGAGCAAGTCTTGCAGCCGCAAAGCAGTAAGGGGAAAATTAAAATAACAAATATAACAATCGAGCCCGCCACCGAAAAGGGTGAACACTACGCAAGTGTAATGTACCGAGCCAACGTGACGTTTACTTTACCAGCCGACTGTGATGCCGCGCCACGGCAGCAAAGCAAATCATTAATTGTGAAAGCATTACCTGAGCTGCGGGGCGAGAAACAACGGCTGCTGCAGGACTCCAAGCTCTTCGAAACCGAAATCGGCATTTACACTGAAGTCGTGCCAAGGCTGGAAGAGGCATTGCAGTTGGCAGGCGAATGCGTACAATTTGGCGCCAGGTAGAAAATTGATTGAAAACTTGAAAAAAATAAAACTTTAAAATATGTGTGTGTATGTAAATATGTATGTATGTATATGAAATAGTACAGCTGCCTCTACAATACGCTCAGGCCCCTAAAAGTATTGGTGTTTGAAGATTTAACCGAGCTGGGCTATGAAATCGTGCGCATGCGTGCGCTAACTGTGAACGAAATTAAAGCAGCCTATCGTAAGTTGGCCAAATGGCATGCGGCAAGCTATAAACTAGCAAAGGAGGTTGGTGCTTTGCATTTTTATTTGCTTTAAACTTTGATTTAAAATTTGATTTGCTTCCACATTAATTGCCAGCGCCCTGAAATCTGCCATAAATATCGCCATAGCTTCATGACTATTCCATACATTGTGAATAGCTCCTTCATATCGAGCGGTATCAAAAATTTCATCGATATGCTAGGCTCCGTGCCTACTTTGGCAGCATATAAGCCGTACTTTCTGAAACTCCAGCCAGATTGGGCTGCCAAATGTCGCGCCACATACACCGAATATTTCTTGAACCACCAGCAGCAAACCTACTATGGCATTTGCCATGGCGACTTACTTGCCAATAATTTAATGTTCAAACATAATCGTGTAACTGGCGAGTTAGCGGATGTGCTGCTGGTGGACTATCAACTTGCCTATGTGGGGCCACTGGTCAACGATCTCATCTATGCCTTCTACATGCTCTACACCGCTGAGCAGCGTGCCAACAATCGAGAAGAGCTCTTACAGTATTATTTTGAGAGTTTCATGCAGGCTTTGAAAAGGCTTGGCTGTTCGGTGGAGGCGTTAAGTTTTGAATGTTTTCAGGAACAATTGAAGCGGCAAAAAACTTTGGGTAAGTGGTATGCCAATAAGGTGAGAGTTTACGATATATTCTAGATAATAGCACCGGTGGAATGATAACGGTATAGACAACTATAATGCCAACAATAAAGATAACAGTATCGCTTTAGAATTTCGTTTACAATTTTGATTACAATAACGCTTATTTTATATGTACATATATAAAAATTAAAATAGATTTGAAGAGCTTTAAGAAGTGAAATTTTCAAACAAATTTTCGATTTATCCTACTGTAGATCTCGGGAAGTCATTGCGATAGAGTAGAGGAACTCGGTACGGAGATGTATCATATCAATACCATACTCATGGAGAAAAATGGGCGTTATTGGGGAAGGAACGCGGGGCACCTTCCAGACAAACTGAATTTAAAAAATGAGATTCAACTTGAATTAAGGGAATTAGGTAGTCGAAATGTGTTATTAAAATGTGGGTGTCAGACAGAAGAGGTTTAGGAAGGTTGTAGTATGAAAATATTTTGAAGAGCGTTACCACCTGTTTGAAAAGTGGAATTGAATTATATTATATACAAATTATATGAAATATTAAAACAAAAGAGTTTTGACATAACTTTTGTTTGAACATTTGGATAAGTTAGATAAGATAATAGGGTTGCCGCCTGTTAAAATATTATATCCAATTCAAATTATTTAATAATTTAATTTAGCTATTGCAATATGGCTATCAACCGAAATAGTTTTGCAAAAGCCGTATTTCTAAATGACATTTAGGGGTTGCCAACTGCTTCAAAATTCAAATTCAACTTGAATTAAGGAAATTAGATAATTGAAATATGTATCACAATATGGGTGTCAAACGAACGAGGTTTAAAAAGATTGCAGTTTGAAAATATTTTGAATATGGTTGCCATCTGTTACAAAATCGGAACTTAATTAACTTATACACAAGTTACATCATGTATTAAAATTTGCGTGTCCAGCGAAATAGTGTTAGGAAACTATTAGTTTGGACACTTGCAAAATATTTGAGGTGTTTGTAGAGTGTTGCGCCCTGTTTAAAAAGTCATATTCAAATTATTTAATAAGTTAAATGAAATATTCTAATATTTCCAATACTCAGCGAAGCGGGTCACGACAAACTAGTTTTTTATGAATAAGGGTGTTAGTTAATATATTTTCAAAGGAACTTAATCTTGTAAATGAAATTCATCTTCCTTCAAATATGCATGAATTCAGTATTAATTTTAACAGAATAAGGTTATTCAAATAGGTGGCAACCCGCTACAAAAATATTTTCAGCAGTAAGCTTTCCTAAACCTCTTTAGTTTGATAAATAAAAACAACAAAAATATTTTATCCTGTAAGCCTTCTTAAGCTCCTCTCTTGTCGCAGCCATATTTCAATATTTACTTTATCTTATCAATTTACTTAAACTTCAATTTTCAAACAAATTGCAACTCTCTAACTATTTTGTTCCTTTATTTTAAGTTGGATCTTTAGCAATGCATCGGTGAAAACCGCATTTAATTCCATGTATTAATTTTCAAGTGATACGCGTGCAAACATACATACAGACAAAAATTCTAAAAATTGTTGATTTGGCTTCTGTTGCTCTAATAAGGACCCCCCCCCCCCCTTCCCTATTAATTTGTCCTTAATATCTTTAATGTGCAGATATCAGCCTATTACAATTTTATTATATTTATAGAATATCTCATAATTCTTAATTAAATAAACAGTCTTTTTTTGACAGCACTCTTCCTCCTGCTCAGCTTTCTGCCCATACGCTATGCACTTAGCGCCGGTCTATTGGATAGAGATCACATGATGGCCACCGACGAAGAGCGCAGCGAGCTCTATTATAATAAAAACTACATGGCTGAATTACATAATATTTTGCCAATGTATTTGCATTTTGGTTATTTACAATAAAAAAAAATTTATGTAAAAAAAAAAAATATTTTCAGATTCATTTTAGTAACTTTAAGATTACTCCACTTTTTTACTGCTCAAAATAGCCCAAATGTAAAAATCGCGGCAGCAACACTCGCAGCTCATTCACAATTTTCGATTTCGTATAATATGCTCTCCGCTCTGCATCCGATTCAACCAGTTTATACACCTCGATGCTGTCATCTACAAATCCATAGTTAAAGATCAACAATGTGAACAACAAGAAGAGACCTGGTGGGGAAAAGTTCGGGTAGTTTTAAAGCATTCAAGCGATTTCCTTAAAGCTGAGCGAAAAAAAATTTGTATGTACCCCAGTGCCGATGTTCTTGCAATTCTGCTCTGAATTCTGTAATTGTTGGTATGTGACCCCGATACTGCACTCTGCGCAACGTGTCTTGGAAATTCGTTATGTAGTAATAAAGCAACTCGTCCATGTGGTCACGCCTCATATCCGGACTGTAAAACATTACGAAGACATAATGCAGATCAATTGCGGCCGAGCCGAAAATGCTGAGTTGATAATCGAGCTGTGTGAAAAGCAAGGACGTAATGCAATAAAAATACATAGAATATATAGCACCAAAGAATGAAGAATATACAGAGGAAGTATTTTGACTTAAGCCGAAATGTGAATTTATGGCAGAGTCGGCTAAGAAACAAAGGATACGTCAAAACGACGCCACCTGTGTTACTTCAACTGTGTTTTCTACTTCGCGAGCTGTTAAGCTCTCTGCTCTAATCCGCTCGCTCGTAATGCAAGTAAATAGGTATTATTATCGTACCTCCCTGCGAGGACTTCTTAATTTGCACTTGACACTTCTTCTGCATATTGTTTACGCCATGAACCAATTTTCTTACCAACAACAATTCACGCAGCTTGCTATCGCCATTTTTCACCATTACATTCTTGACATGAACATCGCCATGGTTCAGCACTTGAATGCCGCTACGTTTGCCATTCGTGTACGCATTCAATACATCCAATGCCTTGGGTATCAAAAACTTTTCAGCTGCTTCAATATGGGGCAAATATTCTTCTAGATCCGGCGCATCTCTGACTATTTCTTTAGTTAATTTAATGCCATCTCTCAGCACAGGGAAGTTCGGTATATCGACTGTGTTTATGAAGTGTTTATGAAAGCTATTGACGACTTGGTCGCCCTGGCATTCGGATGAAAGAAAATATATGTATGTATATATGTATGTGAGAAGTGGATTGGGTAAAAAAAAAAAATAATTCAATATTTAGTACCTCACGTGCCAATTTAAAAGTAATCGCATGGATTTTAGCCAATTTAAGTAGTGCTAATTTGACTTCTTCTAAAGTACCACGACGATTATTAATGGTAGAGTAGCCGTCGGCTACAAGGTCCTCAAACACTACACATTGTGGCGATTGAAGGCTGTAGTGGAATAATCTAAAATAAGGACAGGAAAAAAAATAAATAAAATAGTTCAGCCTTCACTGTTTCGACCCAAACCGTCCATCTCAAACGCACTTGGGACTGAGCACTGTTTTATCGCCAATCGCTCGCAACTCTGCCTCAATTTTCGGCAACACCTTCGTATACATGCGAATCTCAGTTTCGAAGAGCGGCAGCTGCTTCATTTTATCCTTCTTTATACCATCCACATTTGGCTCAGTTTTCATTATAAACGAAAGCGTCTTCTCCTCTTTGGGCTTGGAGCACAGAGCATAATTGAGCTTTGCACGAAAAAGTACACTCGAGTAGTGATCATTCTTGAGGGTGCCGGGAGAGAGCAGCAAGGTGTTGATCTGAAAATTTAATTCATTTAAATATATATATATACTAACTTTATGGACACCAAAATAAGTATGCCCCTCACACCTTCACACTTTCACTTTCGGTTTTATCGAGTATCCGCTTGAAGAATTCCTCATTTATCCAGTTTGGCGGATTCAATTCATCCTCATTGTAAATATTGCTGTTAACCATATTTGTAATGAAATGTTTGAATGGAATTAAATTTCGATTTTATTTCCAAAATAGTCGGAAGCTCTTTGATTAGCGCTCAGCAACTTGCAATGCTTTTATAGCCAATGCCGAAATATTTTTGTGAGCACACTTAAGCAAAAAGTTTCTTATCATAAGAAAATATTGAGCATGCACACATATATGCATAAGCATTCGCTCAATCAGCTTCTGGCAGATTTTTTTTTTTTTATTTAAATATTTAACGCTTTAATGCTTATATACTGAAACTTTGAATGTCCGCTTGCAGAAGAAGCAAGAATATTGCAATTCGTTTCATTTAATGCATACATGCATACATATGCGCGTACATACTAGGGGAGGCAGAAAAGTTTTTGGGCCTAGGGTATAAAAATAGCGGATAGAAATATGTGCGGGAAGTAGACATACGGTATGACGCAAAAAGACAAAAAAAAACTAGTTCTAGAATTCTTGAGAAGGAAAAAGAAATTTCTGCAAAATACACCGAAAAAAATATTTACTCCAAAAAAGAAGAAAAAGTAGAATTTTTGAAAATAATAAAAATTAAAGCTGTCCTGTGCAGCTTTTCATAAGCTCTAGTATTCCTGTAAAGTTTTAATTAATATTTTTTTCAAAATTTTAAAAAGTTTGACTTTTTTGAAAAATATGTTTTTTTCGGCGTAATTTAGCAGAACATTATTTTCCTTTTCAGTAACTCCAGAACTATGTTATAGTCAACGAACAGAATACTCAAAAAAAAAAACAAACAGTGGTAACGGCTGCGTTTGGACGCCCTGGCATGGGATCATCTTCCAGCGAGTCTCTGCCGTGCGTGAATTCTCGGCTCCAACGTTTTGCGGTGGCAAATGAAGGTCAAATATTTCAATCGGCGTTTTATTTTGCTTCTTTGTGAGGAATTTGGCGATTTTCACGAAGGCAATTTAAGTGAAAAATTATTTAAATTTTTTGAATTTTATATGGAAATTGACAGAAAATATAAAATAATTTTCCATTTAAATTGCTGGAGAAACCGACTGTAAGTATAATAGAAATTAGCAACACGCAGTACTAGACATTATTTACACTCAAACATAATTATGCTCAAGACTTTTCAGCCTCCCCTCGTACGTTATCATATCTCACTTATAAATGTGTATGTAGAATACAATCTGTTATTTGTCAGCAGTAGTTCTGCATTTAATAATAAATAAGTAAAAATCGCCAGAATCACTTAAAATATTGACCCATATAAATTTGTATGAAAACTGTTGAAAAGGAAACAAAAAATATTTCAATAAAAGGGAATATTCGCGCTTTAACTTCGAACGCGTTGATCTGAGAAGAAAACATTTTATTTTTGTAAGACACATTCATAATTAAATATATAAATATATTCACACGTACAGAAACTCTTGTCAATCTTTTAAAGCAGGCACATGCTTATGGAGTTCAGCCTGCGCTGCTCACCACTGTCTTAAAAAAATATTCACCGACCATAGCTACAAAAAAAAGAGCTCATAGCGCTTCTCCTACCGCACGCATTACTATTTCCAATTTACCTAGTCTGTCTAAAGCCTGGGTGAATTTCCTTAATTTATGTTTCTTGGATAGCATATCCGAGGTCCGTTATCCATAATGTCAGGTTCGAGGTCATTTGATCGTCAATTAGGACAAAAAATGTATTCAATAAAAATTTTTGTTTTTGTTGCCGCTGACGCCAAATAGGGGTAACAGACCTCAGATTCGCATTAATATAGGGATACAGAGGTTTGGTTCAATATGCAGAAACTTTCCTTTTCTTGTAAACCTGTGTGATTATTGAGATCTCTTTAAATCCCTCCAAATCCAGATTTTTTTAAAGAACAATCACCTTGTGCTTTGTATCTAAGTATATTTTGTGTGCTATAGCCTAGAATAATTCTCTCAAAAGCAGCTTGCAATGGGCATACCAGTGAGTTGTTTTTCTGTAAGAATCTCATTGGTCCTATCTCCCCTTACCAGTTCGTCTGCCATACAGTTACCAATCTGTGTGACTGGAAATCCAAGTGGGGCTAAGGCTGTTGTATTTATGTGGCATCTCTTTAGAGATCCTAGTCAGTCCACGGAGATCACAGCCTTAATTTCAGCCGAGCTGTGACAATTTTGCATATATTTATAGCCGTCAACGAAAAGGACACCGTTTCGTGCTGTCTTCAAAAATCTAGTTCTATAAGATTCAGGCATTTAAAGCATCATTTTGTATTCAGTTTTAGATCGGATAAGATGATATGTCCGAGAAAATCTTGAAAATAGTTATAGCAAAGTGGTATCGGTTTATGACTTTTTATTATTGCAATCGATCACGATTATCCTTGACTACTAAACGGATTTACCAAAAATCGCTGTATTGTTAAATAAACACTCACGATGACCAAATTACAGTACCTTTATTGTACAACAAACACTTCACAATACTTGTTTATGCAATAACAGCAATTAACAATACTCGTTAAGGCAATTAAAACACTTGCTAACACAATTGATCTCTGTTTTACAACCTGATTTGTAGCTCTCTGATTCGCAACTCACTTGCAACAAACTGGAGCAGCGGCCTACGCTCGCACTCATGGCAACTCTAGAACGTTCTGATATGTATCGCTCATTCTCTCATTCTCTCGCTGTTCGTAGTTTTCATCTACTTGACGTTTCTCACTGTCGAATATTCTACGTCATCCCTCGAACATTCTGCCATTTTCTTTTTGTTCGCTTCGCGTTGCTGCAGTATTCGCCACAATATGTATCCACATCGATATTTATACTAGCGATTTTAATGTTATCGTTGCTATATATAATTCCGATACTAATATCAGATTTTTTTCTCTACAAATATTTACATATCTCATTGTTAATATCGAATTTAGTTTTCGTTAGTTAATCGCCAATCTTGCAATCTTCATTAACTCTAATATGTCCGTGTCTGCAAGTTCATACCCTTGGGAATATTCGTTATGATTTTCGTTATTTGTTGTTGAAACTGTTTGAGCG